CACCAACCTTGAGGGGCCGTGGGATGATATCCAGTCCTTGAGCCTTCATCCCACTGTTCCCACATCCAGGCCTTCTCCAAGCCTTGAGCCCAAAAAGCCCCAGAGGCTGCTGGCTCCAGGTCCATCCCATTCCCACTGCTCCCTAAACAGATCCTCTGCAAGGTCTGTGTGTCCCTGTGTGTCCATCTGTCCCGTCCATCCCATCTGTCCCATCCCAGCCCTGACAGGATCCTGGCAACACGCCAGCAATATTCATTAAATACTGGGGGAATGAGCAAGAGGAGCCTCCTCCCACCACCAGAAAGGCCCTGCAGCCTCTTAAGGCACTACATCTTCCACGGGTATGGATCCAGCATGGATTTTGGGGGGAATAATAATCTTTGGGGATCAGGGCTGGGAGTAGCCATGGGCTTGGCCATGGGACGTGGTGTGGAGCAGGGATGTGTGGCAGTGCTCCCTAGGGAAGTGGGCAAATCTCAACCCCAGAAGATATGGAGACAATCCGGGTGCTGAGTGTCCCAAAAATCCAAGTGCTGAGTGTCCCAAAAATCCAAGTGCTGAGTGTCCCAAAAATCCAAGTGCTGAGTGTCCCAATAATCCAGGTGCTGGGTGTCCCAACAATCCAGGTGTTGGGTGTCCCAACAATCCAAGTGCTGGGTGTCCCAACAATCCAGGTGCTGGGTGCTCCATCACACGAAGGAGGTGATGCAGACCGAGCTGGAGCAGTGAGGCAGCGTTAGGGCGGAGAGGATGCCGGATAATCCGTCTGAAATCCCAAAATCCCGCTCCTGCCGCTGCATCCGCTCTGATCCACGATGTTCCCACAGCTCAGTTTTTGGGGCTTTACTTGTACCTGCAGCTGGCACAATCTGCTGCCTGGAAATAGTTCCCTGGGGAGCTGCCTCCCTATTTTGTTTTTCCATTTTGTGATTTCCAAGGAAAGTTATAAATAAATATTTTGGCTTCTGTGGGCACCTGGGAGCAGATTCTTCACTGCCAAAACCTGCACAAAACTCCATGAGGGGTTCCCTGAAATGTCCCCAGAGCCACTGGAGCTGTCCAAAGCCAGCTCCACAGAAATGAGGGTGACACTGGGGCCGTGGTGAAGGAACCCTAATGGAGAAGGAACTCCCAAATTAACCGGGCGTGAAACTGGACTGAGGTGGCGGCTTGGCCCATCCTTCGCAGCAGAGTCTCCCACAAGATTCCCAGAGTGTCCCAAGATGGGATGAGACAAAATCATCCCACAGAATCAACTGGTCTCCCCAGGGAGAAACTGGCAACAGAGCCAATCTCCCCTGGATGCAGGAGGAGACAGCAGCTCCTTCCCAGGAGCTCATTCCCAGCTCATGGGCCTGTTCCTGGTCCCAAACATCCACCTTTGCTGCAGGATGTACCGTGTGGAATGTGCCCATCAAAAGGAGGTCTAAAAAGTAATTTCAAATGGACCTTTCCCTCTTTCTTCTCCCAGTTTTCCATGCTGGTGACCCTGTGTGTGAGCTGGAAGGTGGCCCTGGCTCACTTAGAAGACATTTGAGACTTCCCAGTGCTTTGAGGTGAGATATTCCAGCCCCTCCTAAGGACACTTCCCAAAAAAGTCACAAACACCTTGTTCTGGTACCAAAATACCTCAGGGATTTACCATGAGGAGCCACACACAGACATGGGACAAAGGAGTGTCACCAATGTGGCCATGGCACAGGAGATGCCCTCCTGATACCTGCACCCACCACGGTGCCTCTGGAAACACCAGGAAAGCCCTTCCCGGGTCAGGCGATGCAGTTTGGATGGGGATGCCCAAAAATGTTTTCTTACATCGGCACAAGGATTTTTGCAATCCCACACGGGACCAAGGCTGGTTGTGTCTTCTCCATACCTTGGGGGTCTCCTTTCTCTGACAGCCCCCAGGCAGCAACACCAGTCAAAAATGGGCTGTAGGACAGTGCTGGACAATGCTGCACCCACACCAGGCCTGGTCACCGTCACTGTGCCAACACCACGGGATCCTGTCCCTCCTGCAGGCTGCGTTTAGACAACCGTTGTCTCTTTCTCAGTCATGGAGGAGACCTTGGAGAAGCTCCTGTGCACAATGCTGGAGTGTCCCGTCTCCTCGCTGAGGGCATTCACCAGCCTGGAAAGGAGGGTCACCTTGAACTTCTTGAAGTCCTGGCCCATGAAGACGTAGAGGACGGGGTTCATGCAGCTGTTGGAGGCTGCCAGAGCCGTGGTGAGCGGGATGAAGATCTCAAACACGGAGCGGGGCACCGTGTCGGGCACCGTCTCCAGCAGGTTCAGCAGGTGGTAGGGACTCCAGCAGAGGAAGAAGGTGACAATGATGGTGACAATGATCTTGAAGGGCTTCTTGGACTTCGCCAGGCGGTTCCGGCGCAGGTTGAAGACGATGGCGACGTAGCAGAAGGTGATGATGGTGATGGGGATGATGTACCCGGCCAGGAACCTGGTGATGTTCACGGTGCGGTGCCTCATCAGAGACAGCCCTTTGTAGGATTTATTCCAGGAGAGGGAGAAGTTGCTGAAACAAATCACGGAGTTGCGGATCTGCATCGTGTCCCGGAAGACGAGCGAGGGGCAGCTCATGACGATGCCCACGGTCCAGATGATGACACAAACCCCGTAGGCCAGGTTGGTGGAGCGGTGGTTCTGCGACCACACCGGGAACACCACGGACACGTAGCGGTCAAAACTGATGGTGGTGAGCAGCAGGACGCTCGTGTACATGTTGAGGATGAGGAGGAAGGAGTTCAGCTTGCACATGGCCGTGCCGAAGATCCAGTGGTAGCTCATGGCCGTGTAGGCGATGTTGATGGGCAGGAAGATGTTGAAGAGGAAGTCGGCCACGGCCAGGTTGAGAAACCAGACGGCGTTGACCGACTTCTTCATCTTCAGAGTGATGATGGCGATAACGAGGCCGTTGCCCAGGATGCCCAGCACGCAGGACACGCTGTAGATGATGACGGACAGGATCCTGGTGATGTCCTTGGGGTCGTGGGCCGGGTCCGCCCGCGCGCTGCCGGGGTCCTCGTAGGAGTAGTCCGAGTAGTCGCTGTAGTTATTACTGAGGCCATCCAAGTAATCGGAGTGGTTGGGAAACGCCATGGTCCGCGGGAACGGCAGCCGATCCGTGGGATCCCGCGGATCTGGGACGCTGGGATCTGCGGCCGGGGATGTTCCCCTGCTGAGCAAACGCTTGGTGTCAATCGCAGAAGGGACAAGGGCCCCCAGCATGTGTGGGAAGTGGGGACAGGGAGACAAGGGCCAAACATGCAGGAATGGGGGATCCCGTGAGAAGCCCACTGGTGCCGAGGAGCTGCTCCTCCCTCATCTCCACCCCCATCCATGAGACATCAGGACGTGATTCAGTCCCTCAGCTCCACCAGGATGTGGCTGCAGCCTCATCCTGCAGAAAACGTGGATTACCCGCCTACTTCCAGGGGGAAAACCGGGATAATGCTCATTAACAGCTCATCAGCAGCTCTGACTTTCCAATCTGCAACATATTATGGCTCCTATCTTTTTTTTCTTTTTTCTTTTTTTTTTTTTTTTGTACTGAATTGGACTGAAATCCCAAAGGGAAGCTCCCCGCACACCCCACTGACACCGGGCACCCTCTCACCTCTCTCCTCTCTGCCGGGATGGGGGACAGGTGACACTTCAGCGTCCCAGGGCACAGGGGCAGCTCCCTCCACACCGGCCTAAGGCAGGAGCTGCAACATTAAAGCCAGGATCAAAGAAAGGCCACTCACCCCCGGATGTGGGCTCAAGGGAGGAAACCCAATCAGGGTGTGGCAGCAATTAACCCAGAGCAGCCTCCCTCGGGGGACAGTGCTGGCCTGGGGACCCTCCTCACCTCCAGCCTGGGGAAGGTGGGATCCTGCCATCATCCCAGCAGCTTTTGGGATAAGCCAGGACAGAAATCCCATCCCGTACTCTCTGTGCAAGCACCCAACACGAGCAGCATCCTCAGGTGCACACGAAGAAGCAACCAATCAACCACGGGTTAATGATAATAAATAAATAAATTATTATGTTAAATAAATAATTCAAGATATAAACGAAGTGCACATTATTTGCGCTGTTTGATAGCCTGCATTCTCACAGGGTTGTTTTCCTGATTTAACTGACGCCCTTTATGTTTATATATGTTAATTTTGGTAAATGAATAGCATCACCTGCCATTGTCAGACTCCGGGCTCCAGAGCCTGGATTGAGGGGGGTTCAACCTCTCCCCTGTAAGAATCCAGGATATAAAATCCCCTACCTGGCTCAGGAGGGTTAAAACCAAAACTGAAAGGCTGATGAGAAGCACAGAGCATCCCACACTCACAGGAGGGATGTGGGGACGCCCAAGGACCCTCCCTGTTCCCGAGGCGTTTCACCCCAAAGGTCCCGCAGCCCTGCTTTGAAATTCCCAGGGTGTTTGTGTGGGAAGCTATTGTTTCTCGCTGGGCTTTTCCTGCTGTTCCTTCCTGCCATTGCTGCTGCAGAGTCCCCGGCCAGGGGTGAAATCCCACCCTGTCCCCTCCCCCTGGCCCAGCTCCGGGGGACGATAAGCAGCCAGAACAAATGAGGTTTGAGTGCAAAGTTTGGGAATGAGCTGGAGCTGGGGAGAGACCTTGTCCCAGCAAAACCTTCACGGGCAAAGAGATGAAGTCGATGATCCAGTGGAAGGAACAGAATCAGCAGAACTGACTCTCCCAGCGACGTTAATGGTGATTAACGAGGGGTTGCTCTATGGGACAGGGATTTCAGGTCATCCCCTTGCCAAAGGCAGAGCCCCAGGAAGGTGGGGGAGCCCAGAACCCCATGTCCATCCCACCCCACCCCATTGCCTCATATCCCATCCCGCTTCCATGCCTCCCATCCCACCACACCCCATTGCATCATATCCCACCCCACCCCACCCCACCTCCCACCATCCAGAGAACCCCAAAGCTCCCTGGACTTGCTCCACAACCCCCTTTGCCCCTGTGGTGTCATCCATGGGGCAAGTGAGACACTCCCACCCCTCAGCCTGACCCCACGTTCAGCCCCTGCTCCAGAGGGACAGGAGAAATTCCCACTCCTCTTCCCACTGCGTCCACTTCCATGTTTTTAACGTAAAATCTGCCCTTTATTATTATTTTTAATTGCTGTGCCTGATGACTTTCAGCTAATTACAAAGCTAATTTTATTGGATTATTTATCTGAATGCTCTGTTAATTTTGCTCTGCCAGGTTGGGCAGGGATTGGTCTCTGTTCCCAGTTGGAGTGAGGATAGCAGAGAGCAATGGGAACAGCAGGATTCTGCTTCCCTGTGGGATTTGGCAGAGGATGGGTTTGTTTCCAGCAATCCCAAACAACACAGGAGCAGCAGGCCAATCCCACCATGAACATTCCAGATGAGCAGGATGGGCACCAGGAGCCCAGACCTGCTGGAAAATCATCCAGCAAACAAACTCCCACCTGCCTCTCCGAAATTCTCACAAAAATGGAGACTCACAGGGCTGGCTGCATGAAACCTCCTCATTTCTCACAGCAAAAAAACTCCAAAGTCTGGGAAAAAAAAAAAAAAAAAAAAAAAAAGAAAAAAAAAAAAAAAAAAAAAAAAAAAAGCCACATAATACTAAGAGTGTTTCCATCGCTCCTCTCCGGGTTGAAAATTCCCTGCTCAAGCCAAAAACCACTGTTCTCCCTTCAATCTATTCATCTTTGTCCTCCTACCTCAACAAAAATGAGCAGAGGATTTACCCAAAATAGCCTTTTCTCCGTCATTCCCGCAGCTGTGTTTGTCTTGGTACCCAGGGAAGGCCGGGTGGGATCCCCGACGGGCGGCTGGAGCCCCGGCAGCATCCCGGCACATACCGGGGGAGGATGAGGTCAGGGATGTTGTTCTTGGGAAGGCAACAGGAAATCGAGAGAACAGCAGAAAATGTTCAAATCCAGCTTTTCTGGGCGAAAAAAAAAAATAACCCCTCTGTCCTGGCCAAGGCAGACGGGCGGGGGACGGATGTGAGCGGGGAAAGGCGGCGGGGCCGGGACGCGGGCAGGGCAGGGGATGCTCGGTGCCAGCGGGCAGGGCGGTGCCAGAGCCCTGCTCCAGGAGTTTATAGGGATGGGCAGGCTGCCCAGCACCCCCCGGGCAGGCTTTTTACTGGAGGCACTGGGACAGGTTGAGGAGAACTGATAGAACCTAATCAAATCAAATCAAATCAAATCAAATCAAACCAGCAGAGCAGCTTTTGAGCACATCAGATCCTGCCTTGAGCTGTCAAAGTGCATCACGCTTTGATGTAAAACATGACATAAATCCGTCTGGGACCTGCCAGGGCTGGCTCTGCGGCACTGGGGAAAGTGGGGGAGCCCTTGGGTCGGTGCTTGTCCCCCCCTAAAAAATCCTTGTCCCCGGACAGAACAGCCAAAGCCCCGGGAACAGCCGGGTCCGTGCCCGCCCTGCTGCCGCCTCCTCCCCGGCAGCTGCTCAGCCTTTCCTTCCTTGGAGCACTTCCCTCTCCTCTTCCCACCGGCGGTTTCCGAGCTCCCAGCGCACCCCAAAGCCCAACCCCGCTTCCTCCGGGCGTGGGAGGCGCGGGCAGCTCCGGCACAGCTTCCCGGGAGAGGGGCAGCTGCCGGCAGATGTTTGGGAAAGGCTCGGGGTAAAACAGAACCTCCACGTCCCTCTGGAGCTGCTGGCACCAGACCCCACCCTGCCTCAATCCCCGGTGTCCCTGGGGATGTCCCTGGGGGCAGGTGGCAGGCGCTGGTCCCTGTTCCGTGGGGGTTCACAGCTCCGGATGAGCTCGAGCCCCACCCTGCGATCCCGAGCATCCCTAAAAATCCATGGCATCTCATGCCCCAGGGAAGGAGGATGCAAACCCCATCCCAAGCTGGCACACCCGAGGCCACCCCATGGATCCCTCTGCCACCCACGTGTTTCTGGCACACAGCAGGGACATCCCTGCAGGGATCCAGCTCCCAGGAATCTCAGGGAGCGAGGCAAAGCAGCTCTGGGTACCCAGCTCCAATCCCCCTTTGTTTTGGCAGGTGATTGCCATGGCGACAGATGCCACAGGGATGAGGCTGCTCAGCATCCCACTCCCACCCGGGACAGCCGGGATGGAGCCCCATTCCTCGCTGTAAATCCACCACCAGCCCATCGAGGGGGAGTTCAGATCTCCAACCCCCAAACTCCAACCGTGCCCAAAAGCTGCTCCTGGCTGATTCCAGCCCTGCCACCACCCCTGACCCCTGTGCCCCGCTGCAGCAGGCTGGGAAGGGCACAGGGATGTGGGATGCCACGGGAGCAGCAGCGGCAGGCTGAGAATGAGCTCCTGCCAGCGAGGATCCCGGGCTGGAAATTCTCCCAAACCTCCCCCAGCACCTGGAGACCCCCAGGGCAAAAAGATGAGGCACAGCCACGGGGGAAACTGAGGCACAGAGCTCTGCTCCAAGAGCAGTGGGAAACTTAATCCCTACCTGCATCCACTCAGGCACATCCCAGTTCTGCATCACGGATCCGGGACCCCCACACCCGGCAGCCTCCGGCATCCCCAGCCTCTCCCTGCACCCCACCCGTGTGAACGGCGCAGGAAAAAAGGAATAGCTGGAAAAGGCAGCCTTAAAAAAGCTGCTGTGCCCAGGGTGGGACAGAAAAACATGAGTCAGTGTTTATCTGGGCAGAGCCGGCCGGGCTGAGCGGGTCAGGTCGGGATAGGATGGGATGGATCCCACGGATCCTCCCGGCCACAGTGTGGGGTCACCCCCATGGGGGAAAGCGCCCAAATCCTGCCAGGAAAAGGGGTTTAATCTCAAAATTTGGGTTAGGAAAGACCCCTCCCAGGGTGAAACTCCAGCAGAGGAACCCGGCCTTCCCTAGCACCAAGTGTTGAAAGAGCCACGCTGTTCGTAAAATCCCGGCCTTTTGCTCCATCCATTCTGCTCTTGGAAAGGTTCGAGGATTAAAGGGGGAAAATTCGGGCGTTTTCACCTACACAGGCAAAGATTTCCTTGAAAAAGGGCAGTCTGTACTTCTGAGCTTCTTAAAATGACCCAACTTCCAAGATAATAAAAGTTCTTTCATCTCCTCTGCTCTCTTCTAATAATCCAAGGTTTTCTCCTGGCACTTCTCAGGCAATAAAAAGACAAAAAAAACCTCCCTTTTCCAGAGCATCCTCCCTGCTACACCCCAGCAGTGCAGTGATGCCGTCCCTCACCACGGCTTGGGCTTTGTCAGGGGACAAAACCTTGGGGACGTCACTCTACATTTGGGGCGCACAAAGGGACAGAAACCCAAGCAAACGGAAATAGGGCTGCGGGGGGGACGTGACCCCGCAGGGGATGTGGCACGGCAGGGGACAGCAGGCTCAGTCACCCCGGATCCGTGGGAGCATCCTCCCAGCTGTGCTCCGTGTCCCCAGCTGAATGCTGATCAGCACGGCAAAGAAAAGCCACCCTGTTCTCCCTGTCCCCAGCGAGGGGACACTGCCACACTGTCAGGACATCAACCCCCCCAAATTCTCTGCCAGCTCCTCTCCCTTCCGTGCTGTTTTGCCACCCCCCAGGCTGCAAAGCCCAGCTCCAAAAGAGGCTGGGGTTGTAGGGAAAATTAGGGGCTTTGGGGTGAAGGACAGTGGGGATCCCAGAGATCCCAAACCCACTGTAGAACAACAGGGGAGCAAAAAAAACTCAAGTGGTTGCAAATCTCCAGCAAACCCTTCCTCCCAAATCCCTACAAAAAATATAAATTAACGAATATATGTAAATCCAGGGGTGTTTACCTGAGCTGGATAAATCCCCAAGGAATTTTCAGCATTCAGAAGCTGGATTAGACATCTCTGCTTCTCCTCCAGCCCCATTAGGGCTGGCATGGGAATGACCCCGGGCTTGTGGCTTTGGCATCCAGCTGGAGCTGACACGGATATTGCCGAGCTGTCTCATCCCGAGGAGAAGCACATGGGATGGGAGGATGAGGAAAATAAAGGCAGCCCGTGGAACAAACCAGCTGCTGGCCTCAGCAGAGCTGGAAGGGGAAGGGGGAAGCTCTGGGGGAGGATGTTGAATCTGCGGAGTTTAGCCGGACACAGAAGGGGATGTGGCAGCGGTGACATGTCCCGTCCACCACGGCTCCTGTGCTGCCCACAGTGGCTTGGGAATCTCCTGGGAGCCTTTGGGAAAGGTTTGGGTATCCCTCATTGTGAGCACAGCCAAAGGGTCCCCTCGGCTGCCCTTCATCCCTGCTCCCCAGGCACCCCAAATCCATGCTGGGATGCTCCTGGCTCACACCCGCAGGAGACGGGGAACCCAAAGCCATTCCTGGGGTGCAGGGAAGAAGAGAAGCTGCTCACGAGTCCTGTCCATTCCCAGCTGTTCATCCCATGTGAGGACATCAGCCTGGCCTGGTTTGTACCCCCAAAGAGAGCGTCCCCAGCCAAGGGCTGTCCCTCACCACCCTGACCTCAACCCTGTGCCAGCCAGGAGCTGCAAATCACCAGTGGCATCCACGGTGCAGGACCAAATCCCTGCCCTGAGCCAGGACATCTGAGCCAGAGGGAGATGCAAAACAGCTGGAGCAAAAGCTGCACCGTGCTGTGAAAGAGCATCACCTTCCACCAGAGCTCCCACCTGCTCTCCCTCAACGAGATCCATGAGTTTTCCAGCTCTTGGCTTCTGCCACGCACAGGGAATAAATCCCAGTTCCCTCAGAGCTGGAAAAGCGCCACCCAGGTGTGACCAGGGGACAGGGGGTGATGCCAGCAGGGAGTGGTGGCAGGTGGGAGGGAGCTAAAGGCCACCACGTCCCGTGACGTGGGGACATTGACCCCGTCCTACGTGGAGGAGCTCCCGTGAGAGCCGAAAAAGAGGAATCGGAGGCGCTGCCGCCTTTGCACAACTCTGTGTCGCAACTCTGTGTCCCTGAGCTGAATCAGGGCTAGAAAAATGCTGATGTGCCGGTTCCTGGGGCTGCTGCGGGGAAAGGAGAAGCCCCAGAAAGCCGTGGAGAAGTGGGCAGGGATGTGCCAATCCCCTGTGGAGCCAGGCTGGGGACTCGTGACCGGCTCCCCGGTGTCCCTGTGTGCCAGGAGCCCCGCGATATTCCACACTGGTGGCACATCCCCAGCGGGGTGCAGAGGAGCGGTGTGCCAGGAGAGTGGGAAACGCCGCCCGAAATGATAAAACCCATGAGAAGCACGGACCCGGCTGGGGAGTGGCACGGCCTGGATCTGCCCCATCGCTCTGCCACCTCGTCCTGTCCCATCTGCTCCCGCAGTGTCCCCCCGCGAGTGACCTGTCCGTACCTCGCACGGTGCCAACGCTGTCCCGCTGCTCCGTGCCGGGCGGGACGGGCTCGGGGTGCCCGGGGTGCCAGCAGGATCCCATTCCCAGGCGGATCCCGGCGTGCCGGGACACACACAGGCACGGTGCCGCTCCCCGCCGCTTTTAAGGCAGCGGGGAGGGAGTTGCGTCCATCACCAAGGTTTTCTTGGCAGCGCGATGCTCGGCGAGCAACAGCTGGGAGAGGGTGTGACGCCGGGAGCTGGGAACGCTGGCCTGGATCACAAGCCAGCGTGAGGAAGCAACAAACGCTTCCCGAGGGGCCTCCTTTCCTGTGCCGCCCCCCGGGCCGGAGCGCACCGTCCCACGGAGGGATAACGGAGCCCGGAGCGCTCCGCGGGGATGCTGCTCCAGCCCGGAGCCCAAGGGGAGGCAGGTGGCTGCCAGCCCCCGCCGCCGTGCTGTCCCCAGCCTGGGGCAGCCGCTGTCCTCTGCTCCCCACACCGCCCCCAAATCCTTCCAAGACGTTGAGTCACTTCCCTTCAGGCAAATCTGGCTCCCAAACGCCGTTCCTGCTGCTCAGGGGCTGCTTTTCCCGATGGATTTCATTACCACCAGGATGCTGCAGATGCTTCCAGGCAGCCCCCCCAGCCCGCAGAGGCTCAGTGGTGGCAGCTCTGTCACCCTTTAACACCTGCAAGAAAAGTTCTTCGGGGGCCACGGAGGGGCTGGGAGAAGCTCCAGAGTCCCCTGGGGAGGAGGGATGGGAAAGGCTGGATGCAGGGATGGGATTCAGGGGGACAAACAAGAGGATTTTGGGGCAGCCCCCCAGACTGGGAGCACTGAGCAGCGCAGCCTCCACCCACACAGAGCAGGAGGTTTGGATAACCCCAGGCT